CCCAGAGGAAAGTCATTGCTATTCTGCCCATGAGTGGGATAGCTACCTGTCTTCAAGCACAGGGAATTTTATTTATTTATTTATCTATCTATCTATTTATTTATTTCAGTACGCAGATCGATTTTGTCTCTTAGGTTTGTACTGCAGGTGGATCTGGGTCAAAAATAAACAGAATACTTCCCTGGGACCAAGACTTGACCTAGATTCTCCCAATTTAATAGCCTAGAAACATGGCTCAGCCTCATGGCACCCATGACCTTGATTCATAGGCTAAAAAGATCGCTGATGAGGTCAAGCAAGGGGGAGGGGTCTCTACCTTCAGAGGGAGGTAGACAAGGGGCAAGGGGTAGCAGGAAAGACTGTCCTAAGRGCTTAAGGGCTTTAGTCACCCCAGGAGCCTCTCTTCTGATGTCATGGTGAAGGCAGAATGTTCTAGTCCTTTGCTGTATTGCTTCCTCCCTTTCAGTTGTTAGCATACAGGAACTATGTTGTTATATTGCCTATTTTCCTATGCTCCTAATTTCTTTCTTTGGCTATTGCAAGATTGACACCCAATGGCTTCCACCTATTAAGTTGTGTTTCTCCATCATAATTTTCTCTTTTAGTGTCAAATTTTATGTCCCTCCGTTGGGTCACATCATCATCATAACCCTCATATTTGCATTCCCAAACTGGTGCCATGGAGACCATCATTATCAGAACCTTTGCATTTTGTCAGCATCATAAGAAAGTGTACGGGTAAAAACAACACATGATTAGGAGTCCAGGTTTTAGATATAAAGATTTTGAAACCTGAATTTATTTTTCCATGAATAGGAACACCACAATATGTGCATGACATATTCCAGTAATTAATGGCACCATTTGCAAGTTGTATCCAAGTGGGGAAGAAATGGAAGAGGTTACATATCTGTGTCCAAGAATGAGAACACTGGGTATCAAGATGAAAAACGGAGGTGCTTGAAAAGAACTTTCTTAGCCTGGGCAACGTATTGCCAAAGACTGAAGAGTGTGAACTATTTTCTTACCTCTGGATGATGAGCTCTTCTGTGTAGGCAATCGCATTCAAAGCTGGGATGACATTTCCAAGAATTCACTTTCCTCTCCTTGCCAATAAGTTTCTCTTCCTCATTAGTCTACTGCTCAAAGAGAAGAGCTTCCAGAAAAGAATTAATATTTCCTGAGCATCTCCAACAGGGCTGGCACATTCATAAGTGCTAAGTGCATTTATGAATGGTAACAAATTTAATCCTAAAAATTATTAGTTGAACAGATGAGAATACAGAAACTCAGGATGTTAATATGTCTAAAGTCAGGCAATTAATATGTAGAAGATTCAAGATGCACACCCAGCTCTGTATGACCTCCTCCCCCAGACTAAGTGTTTTGCTCATTAGAGGTTTTATAGAGATAGGAGAAAGATCTGAGAAATCTATTCATGGAAATTTTTGAATTGACAAGATATCAATCTTTCCCKGGCTCATCCTATTAACCAAGGAGCCACTCTGACAATCTTCTGTTAATGTGTCCTCACGGAACCTCTTTTTACCCTTGGGTCACCCATAAACCTCCGCCAGGAGGCTATCCCACAGTAGCAGAACTCTGTCAAAACTAGGAAGTGGCTGGCTACTTACAATAATTTGTATGAGAGAGAATCCACGGTCAAACTTAAGTTACAAAAGTGGTTTCCAGAAGAGTTGTTTTGTTATTATTGTTAATTTATTTTTTTTTCCATTTGTGTGCCTGAATATGATTTTCAATTGTTCTTGACTATAGTGGATATTTTTGATCAGTATTCAGAGTGGACCACAAAAAAATAGGATCCTAGGCCACAAGGCAACAGGGGAAAACAGGGTATATGCACACAGACCATCTAAATGTCAAGCTAGATTGGTCGATAAGTCTCTTACCTATTGTACACACTTTACTAGGTCCCCAGGGCTAAAGGGTCTCAATACTGAGTTTTCAGTTTTCTGGCTGAAGTATTCCCTGAGCCTTCTGGAAGCACAGTTCAGAGGAACATCACTGGCTCTTATCACATTATCTAGTTCCAGTAACCACACTGGGAGACATGCTTGATATGACTTGGCCTTCTTATTTTAAAGATAAGCAAGTGAGGTTCTGRATGGGAAAACAAATGACTCATCCTAAAGCACATAATGAGTATGTCTAGAGGAGACCTTCTGAGCATTTTTTCCCATCTCCTGAATTGATCTTAAAATCTCTATGTAAAATATGTTTTACTAGAAGATATAGGGTTTTTTTTTCCAAAGTTTTTGAGTTTCTACTGAACTTTCCTTCATAGACTGTCGATGGTTCAGTTCCCTGGGTACTTTCATAAGCTTTTATGTGGTAGTTTCAGTGTGTCTGAGAGGACTCAGCTGTTCTAAACATGAAACATCTTGAATCCACATGCTGGTGGTATTCTCAGATCCATGTTTTCCATTAGTGTTTGAGTTTCAATTACTTTCATGGGCAGGCCCGCCTGCTGGGATCTAGGGTGCATATTCCAGGGATGGCTCATTGAAGAATAGGTTTTAAATTATGGCTCCCACAAATTGATAAAAACAAAAACACCCTACCCACTTTCCCTTCAACCATAAAATCAAGGGTAACAGAGTAGGATCGAATAGAAATCCAAGTAAATGATCTACTGGGGACATCATCCATATCAGAGCTATATTTGACCGAGCAATTTAATTAATTTATTTTTCTTCTTAAAAATTTAATGTTTGTTTTTATTTATGATGGTATTAGGACATTTCAGGTCATTAAAATGAGGAAAATATTAGAACTTTTATTTTTTTTGAAAGTCTTGTTTGAACACAAAACAATGTAATATAAGACAATAAAATTTTGAAATATTGAATTATAGGTGTTTAAATTTAGTGGCTAAGTGAGSGGTCATTGGTATAGCCTAGGACAGGAAAAGAACAGTCAGATGACTAATTATTACTTGGTTAATTTTCTCTTTTTTKCACAATTTTCCACAGTACATGTAATTTTTTTTCCACTGAGAACAGCAAAATATACCAATTATGCAAAATTTAGAACATATGGAAAGGTGGGAGGGCTCTTCTGCCTTGTTTTGATTGCAGTGTTGGCAGTGAAGGGTTGAGAATCTGTCAAGGGTTGAGAATCAAGCCAGAGAATGCAGGCACATTTTCTGCAATACTTGGAATGTCTACTTACCTTATAGAAGAGCGAATCCACCATATATGATCTCACACAGTATGAATTGCATTTTCTTTAACCTAACATATATCAATTTAATTTTTTTTTGGCGGTRGGGGGGAMAGGGAATTGAACTCAGGTGTACTTAACCACTGATCCACATCCCCAGCTCTATTTTTGAATTTTATTTAGAGACAGGTTCTTACTGAGTTGCTTAGAACTTCACTTTTGCTGAAGTTGGCTTTGAATTCACCATTCTCTTGCTTCAGCCTCCAGAGCCACTGGGATTACAAGCATGTGCCACCACACCMGACTTTAATTTAATTTTAAGAGTCTTTAAATCATAGCAAATTTATAGTACTGTCAACCTATTTAAGTCCTTCCATCTTTTGAGTCAGGATGTTGGTCATAGAATTCATGTTGCTATAACAGGCAGGCCACATTAGAGATCACTGTGTGTGTGCGTGTGTGTTTGTGTATAATTTGGTAAAGTGCATTAAAATTTTCCACTATTTTATAATACCAGTGCTTTCCCTCCAGAAAACCTATTCTGGAAAAAATATTTTTGGTTGGTAGAAAAAATGATGAAGAAGTGCTTTGGGATCATAGGTTACAAAAGATTGAGCAATTTATGAAAGCCAACATCTGGAATTTGGGTGAAATTCTTCCCAGAACACATTTGTTCAACAAATATTTATTGTCTACTGTGTTTCTGTCATTGGAGAACCTCAGATGAATCAGATAAAAATCCATCGTTCTCCAGACRTTCATAGTCTCATTGAAGTCAAAGTGGTTATGTCAACAAATCATGGTRGAAGAGTAGGGTACCTATTTCTGTAGGAATATACAGTGTGGTGAGACCCAAAGGAGATGGAGAGGCCTAGGAGGGCCTCCTTGAAAAGATAGCTTTGGAAGTTGATTTTGAGTCCTGAGAAGTTCAGCTCTCATCATAAAATGAACAGTTTTGAGGGGCAAGAGAGCAATGGCTGAAAAGACCAGGCACATGGAAAAGCATTCTGGGAAGCCAGAAGTGAGTTCTCTGGGTGGGTCTGAACTGGCTCCTGTAGAAAGAGGCAGGACATGAACCTGGAAGGCAAGGTAAAGTCTAGACAAAGGAAGTAGCCCATAGTCCACTTGCAAGGGTGGGCTGTGTTATGTGGATCCCAGAGAAAACAATCTTTTTTAAGCAGAGAGGGTGGAGCTGTTAAACAGGTAGCTGRTTATGTTTGCATTTCAAAGAAGCTCTGAATCTGCCTTAAGGTTTATAAAATATCTCCTCTTTTATAAAGAGGTTATCCTTTGGGACTTATGAGTGGGTCTACAATTTGGGGAAGGTTTGAGGGTGGAGTTAGAATTTCTTTAAAACACACACAAATTGACAAACTGTTTTATATGAAGTAAAAAAAAAAGTAAGCATGAGAAAGAAGCTTTTTCTGTTTGTTAGCTCTCACACTCACTTAAATTTTTAACTACAAGCTATGCTAACAAGAAATATGTAGTTGAACCTCAGGCTTTTGTGTTGTGCCTGATAAACGGGGACAACACCCAACCCCCAAAAGTGTGGTTTTCTTGCCAATGAAGGAGTTTGGTACAGACCAAATCCAAAAGAAACTTCTGAGTTTCTTTCCGAAATACAGAGAGATTCGTCTGTGTTCTTACCGTGCCAAATGACATCGATCTCTGTAGATGCTTAAAGAACAAGTGGGAGTATTCTGGTTGTTAACCTTTGTGATGACAAGAGTGCTTTTCAATTTTGCAAGCTGAATGCAACGGTGATTGGAATGGTCTTGATATGAAAGCACACCTTGTCTCCCCTCTTCCAACAGATAACACGGCAGGAGTGTATGCCCGGCGTGGAGGCTTCAGTCGGCAGAAGCAGGATCTATACCTCCTGCCCATAGTGATCAGTGATGGGGGGATCCCGCCTATGAGCAGCACCAACACCCTCACCATCAAAGTCTGTGGGTGCGACGTGAACGGGGCRCTGCTCTCCTGTAATGCCGAAGCCTACATCCTGAATGCCGGCCTGAGCACAGGGGCACTCATCGCCATCCTTGCCTGCATCGTTATTCTCCTGGGTAAGGGGTTTCCCTGGTTGGCTGCCACAGTCAGATGCACGTCCTTGAAAACACATCCTTGAAACTTGTGTTTCTCAAGTCCTGGCTGATGACCACGTCCATGCTGTGTACTGTGGACACAGCTTAAGCAAAATAAAAAATTAAAAAAAAAAAATTGGAGGGGGGTGGGTGCCAGCTCTCCTGAGTTTCATGGGACAGTAGCAGAGCATGAAGTTAAACAAGCACATKGATAGAGTGGAAATAAAGTTGTGATGAGCATCTTGCTGGATGTGTATCACAAGACTGGGTAGCAAAAGCAATGTGCATGCTAGAGAGACATCAGAGAGGGTTTTGCATATGAGGGGTTTAGGCAGTGACTTGCTATATGTGCAAGAGTCTTGCCTCACAGGAGGAAGAAGGGTTAGGGACCAAGGGGACAGGAAGGGCCATGATGAGAAAAATGACAGTGTGTGAAGGACTCTAGGAAAGGAAAGCATGTCAGCTGGCTGTCGTCATTCTTCACAATATCTGTGCACATGCTTCCTCAGCTTATGGCTGCTTTACTGCAGATTGCCAACTGAGCTAGGCCCCTGACTTCTGTAGTGGTGTTCCATCTATGGTCCAYTCTGTATCAACTCCAATGAGCAGATGATAACTCTGTCATTGCTGGGCCTCAGGAACATTAGATGATTTGTCCCAACCTCTCAGAASTAAGTGAGTTTCAGAATCAGACCCCAAACCCAAGATTATCTGACACCAAACGTATGCTTTCCCCAAGATGTTTGTTTCTCCATTAAATGAATTAATGGGACTGATTCTGTAGAAAATAGCTAGAAAATCAAGTTTAATAATAGTTGAGTATTATCTGGAGACCAGGCCACCTATCTTAGGCTCCCAGGCATAAAGAGAATTATGCAAGAACTCTATGCTGCAGGAGTCCATGGTCTATCAAGGAAGGTTTTCATGGACAAAGTAAATAGAGGTTCTACATGAGTGCTATGATAGAGACATGACACAAAGGTAGTGTGGGCACAGAGTAGAAAGTGCCTGCATCACCTGAGAAAGTCAGACACRTCTTCCTGGAAGATGTCATAGATATAGCAGCTACAGAAGCAGTTTCTAGCTGATGAAAGGGGTACTCCCATCAGAGGGATCCCTGAAGAACTGATCCTGGGAGAGACAGACGTGTAAACCTGTAATAAATGTTTCAATGATAGTAAAACAGGATTCATTGGTGGATGGAGCCCATGCCAATAGCCCTGTGTAATGTCGGGATGGGATGCCAGAAAATGTTTCATGGTGAAAGATCAAAAAGTGTCAGCCAAGCAAAGAAAGTGAAAACCATCTGGGTGAGCAAAAGTGCTTGCAGAAAAAGGCACAGACCTCTGGGGACCTCATGGAGTCCAAGGCAATTGCAATCCCTAATCCTCATGGAGTCCAAGGCAATTGCAATCCCTAATCCTCTGTCACAGAGCCCCCAAAGGGCTCTCAGTCTCCTTGTCAAATTCAGCCACAAACTTTCCTCTCAGTCTTGCTGAGTGTTGAGGAGAGTCTTAAAAAAAAAAAAACCAAAACATTACAGAAGCCTCTTGGTGGGTGAGTGTAGGGGCAGAGGAAATGGTTACAGGAGAAAACAGTGTCCAGGTTTTCCTTATGAGTGACTCTGCTCATTCCTCCCAGTTGTCCAGACTAAATGGAATACCTCTCCCAGGAAAGAAATAAGATTGCTTTATCTGGGGTTTCRGATAACACTATTTATTTTTATGTTCAAAAAGTAGATTTTTCTCCTGGGGTCTTCACAACTGTCCCCTCCTCTCACCTTCATGATAGTTTCTTGATATTATTATAAAGTAGGGTTAATGTTGATCCCCAGAACTCTGGGAAGTATCTAGTTTTTACCTCCTATAGGAAGGTAGGTCCTGAGTTCTCYGAATGTCCTCACTCTTAAAGTTGGGAATGGCAACTCCCTTCTTGGCAAAAACCAAAGTGGCCCTTAACCCCTTTTAAGAGAATGCACATTTAGAATCTTCCYGATATTTAGGCAAATGGCTGCCAAATAGTGGCAGCATCCATTTGCCAAGTTCCAAAGTGCCAACCTGCCAAACCACTGGGTATAATGTTCTCATGGCGGCCCTTTGCAGAGACAGCCAGGCAGAAGTCAGTTTTGCACATTGCTGGGGATTCCTGGCAAAGCTCTCCTTCCCTCTGTGGCTTCCAGTTCTGAAACACAGACCTACTTGAGGTTCTTGGGAAACAAAACACTAGGCAAAGAATCTGGGGAAACTGGGCTTTGCCACACTTACCTTCTTCTTCTTTCCCTGTAGTCATCGTAGTGCTGTTTGTGACCCTAAGAAGGCAAAAGAAAGAGCCCCTGATTGTTTTTGAGGAGGAGGATGTCCGTGAGAACATCATCACCTATGATGATGAAGGGGGAGGGGAGGAAGACACTGAAGCCTTCGACATCGCCACCCTCCAGAACCCCGACGGTATCAATGGATTTATCCCTCGCAAAGACATCAAACCCGAGTACCAGTACATGCCTAGGCCCGGGCTCCGGCCAGCACCCAACAGCGTGGACGTGGATGACTTCATCAACACGAGAATACAGGAGGCAGATAACGACCCCACTGCACCCCCTTACGACTCCATCCAAATCTATGGTTACGAAGGCAGGGGCTCGGTGGCCGGGTCCCTGAGCTCCTTAGAGTCGGCCACCACCGACTCGGACTTGGACTATGACTATCTACAGAACTGGGGACCTCGTTTTAAGAAACTAGCGGACTTGTACGGTTCCAAAGACACTTTTGATGACGATTCTTAACAATAACAATACAAATTTGGCCTTAAGAACTGTGTCTGGCGTTCTCAAGAATCTAGAAGATGTGTAAACAGGTATTTTTTTAAAAAAAAATCAAGGAAAGGCTCATTTAAAACAAGCAAAGTTTTACAGAGAGGATACGTTTAATAAAACTGCAAGGACATCAAAGTGGTAAATACTGTGAAGTACCTTTTCCCACACACACAAAAAAGGCAAATATTGAGGTTGTTTATCAACTTCGCTAGAGAAAAACCACTTGGCATACAAAATATTTAACTGAAGAAGTCTAATGGTGAACTTACAATGAAGGGAAATTGTTTATGTGTTATGAACATCCAAGTCTTCTTCTTCTTCTTCTTCTTCTTCTTCTTCTTTTTTTTTAATTTGTCAAAGAAGCTTCCACAAAATTTCAAAGGACAACAGTTCTGAGCTGTAATTTCGCCTTAAACTATGGACACTCTCTATGTAGTGCATTTTTAAACTTGAAATATATAATATTCAGCCAGCTTAAACCCATACGATGTATGTACAATACAATGTACAATTATGTCTCTTGAGCATCAATCTTGTTACTGCTGATTCTTGTAAATCTTTTCGCTTCTACTTTCATCTTAAACTAATACGTGCCAGATATAACTGTCTTGTTTCAGTGAGAAGCGCCCTATTTCTATGTCATTTTTAATGTATCTATTTGTACAATTTTAAAGTTCTTATTTTAGTATACATACAAATATCAGTATTCTGACATGTAAGAAAATGTTACAGCATCACACTTATATTTTATGAACATTGTACTGTTGCTTTAATATGAGCTTCAATATAAGAAGCAACCTTTGAAATAAAAAAAAAGATTCTTTTTTAATTCTGGGTTTGATTCTTAACATTGAAAGAAATTAAGGATTTCTAATGATCCATTTATATTTCTAATTTAATTGTGATCTTTTAATAACCCTATTTATGATCTGTTGTAGTCTGCTGCTTTTACTGTTTATTTAAAGTCAAATATGTTTTGCAAATGTTTTCTTGGGGGCAAAATTCTGTAAGATCATGTAAAGCATATATATAGATATATAGATATATATATATACATATATATTTCTTTTTTTTTGTACAATTCTTGGCATTAGCATTCCTGCTTCTCTTCACACACATCTTTTAAGAAAGGAAGATGTTAAAGATCTAGATCATTCTACGATTTTGCAATATGTGTTACATAATATGCATTTATCTTGTATATCAATGATCTCATGGTTGTGAGAGACAAATCCATGGCGGAATGAAAACTATCAGGACTCTAAATGTTCAAGGTATGTATTTTATTCCCTACCCTGAGCATTTGGGAGTTGAAGGAGGAAAGAGTCAAAAATTAAATTTGCTCCACACTCYAGTGTTATTTTTCTTTATGTTAATCTTACCAGGCTATTGTAAGACTCTGACAGTTGAAATGGCTCATTTTTTTTCCTCCTGTAACTTTAATGTAGCTTAATGTGGCATTTTTAGTTTTGCTWAGAGAAAGGGCAAATTCACTTCCAACCCTTGTTTTAGAGTATGCTTTGGGCCATAAGCTCAAAAGGAAAGCAGAGACCATGCTGGATTCTGAGGGTGATACCATTTGATCCGTGAGTACRCCTGCAGTCACCTGAAGTCCCCTTGGGACTTATATGAAGGACATTTCACTTGCACAGTTGGGCCACAGGTCAAAAACGTAGCAATACTTGGGGGAAGGACCACAGGAATCATGCTGCAAGTACTTTCCCTCTTCTTCCCTAAACCCAGGGGACATGAATTTTCGTGGATTGCWGACAATTTTTAAATTGTCATGAAAGTTTGTTTTAACCTTTCCTGATATCCTGTTATATACTGTTTTTATGAACTCAGTCCAAATGCATACAAAGAGAAATGTTTTTATGAAGTGCTCACTCCCCTTTTACTTTGCATTTAAATCAAATTGGCTGACCACTTCAATGGAATGAATTCTGTGGACAATGTCACTTTAGAATCTTTCATTTTGGTGAAGGATTGCACATTCTCAGTGCTTCCATAATTGCAGGTTGTGTTCATTTTTTTATATAGTTTTTGTAATCCAAAGAATATTTTGCTAGATTTGCACAGATCTCCAATTGAATTTGAAATGAAGAAATAACTCAAAAGGAATATGGATAGCACTTAAACACGTTTACAGCTGTAASTAACAAGTAACCCCATCACCGTGGATGATCTTTTTTTTTTTTTTTCCTTCTAGGAATGTATTTGAAATAGAGTTGACAATGACATTTTCACATTTTTATGTCAAAGTTTTTTTTTAAAGGTTGTCTACTTTTCAGTAGTTAAAAATACTTGTTTTTCTTTTTTAAAAAAAATCTTTTCCATTTTTTTACTTTAAGATTCTATTGTTTGTAGAACCCTCTTAGAAGCTTGAAAATAAAATGTCTTTCCCAACTAGTGGAGTCCTTTTTCATTTGGAATCTACAACCTTCAAAGCAATCTTGGTTTAAGTGGTCCTTCTTTCCCTCAGAACAATGTAATCACTGCTTATGGCATTGATGAGCCTAAAAAGAGAATGCTGTTCTCTTCTTGTCTTGAATAATGTGCATTGTTTAGATTCATCATTCATCCATCCATTCATTGATGCACTCATTCATCAGCATCTTATTTTGCAGACCCTACTAGCTACCTGAGGATGCAGGCTGAATTCTGCTATCTTCATGAGCATGGTTCAATTTTCCAAACCCTTGACTGAAATATCTACCCTGTTGTCTCATAACCAACTGTTACCTTTAAGCACATCTACCTCCCCTGACACTACAAGGTTGAGGGGAGGAGCCAATAAGATAAAAGATGTAACAGGAGATGACAAGGTGCTGAGCATGCATGGAGTTTATGCCCACTGTGTCAACTCTGAACAGATCTTGCACTTAGCTAARTTGCATCCCCAGGATTCCTTGCATGATAGGGAAGGTAAGAAAGCATGTTATCACATGACTGGAGAACATTAAAAGTGCACATTCACGGTGCCCAGAGAGCATGGCTCTCTCTATCAGATAGGACCAGTCAAGGAGTATCTAAATTTGTTCCTGGGTAACTGCATTACATCTTTTACCCTTTCGTGAGAACCTTACAGGACAATGAGTTGCAGGGAAGGTAGCCGGGATCTCTGAGCAGAAAAGTGGCTAAATTCATCTGACAAGCACAGATTAGAAGCATATGAGCCTAGATCCACTCCAGGAAGGCACTTGTGAAGGTCAAAATGAGATAGAATGAGGACCTAAGATAATTCAATCAGGTATAGAAAGGGTCAGAGGTTTTTCTGTTTCTGCCCTGCTTTGGCATGGTCTGGGCTGTGCTCTTCTCTGACCTGGGATGTTGACACTGTCTCCTGGCTGTTCCATACTTTCTAATCTATTTTCCCAGGAAGAAACCAGGGAGATATTTTTAATACACAGCTCAGATCACATGACTTCATAACTCAAACCTCTTCTCCAGCTTCCCCAAGTCGTAAAATAAATTCCATTCCCTTTACTCCATTACTTTGCATACCCTACAACCAGGCAAATCTCTCCAATTCCATCTCAGTCCTGCCTACCTTCAGTGAGCTACTCCTCCCAGCTACCTGGCCATCTTTTAGTTCCCCATACAAACAAAATGTACTCCTTTCATACCTAAAGTTGGTCACCCTCAATTGGTTTTCTTCTAAGGATTTTCACTCTTTAAACTGATTTTGCTTATTGACTTTTGGGGATGGGATATGATTCACCCACCAGGAGTTGGATCTGTCTTCCACTGTATGCCCACTTCTTTATACTGTGCCCCAAACCAAACAGGTACACGGTAAGCATTCACTGAATAATGAATGAATTTTGACACAGCTCCCTTATCAGGATTTGGGGAGTGACCGGAGAATGCCTTTATGATGTTACCTTATCTGAGAACTTGAGTYCATCCTGATCTTGGAGCCAGAGATTGTGATGGGAAAAGGAGAAATGGTTCCGGAGTAAGAAGCTGAATTGAATTTGAATGGACACGGGAATCGGAGATATCTGTGGGACAGCCAGAGGAAAGAGGACCTGCCGCGCAGGTCATCATATAGATGGGATTGCATTCCGCTCACTGGAGAGGTAGAGATGGGAACTGAGAGAAGGAGTTGAGGCCACAGGATAGCTGTGTTTCTTCTTAATTGGGTTTTCAAAAGACTGTTTCAGTGGTAAAGTCCCYCTGGTGTTGAAAAGTAATGCTGAGTTTAGTTTTATTAATGAAGATAATTAGTCAACATAAACCTTACCTTTGTATAACAAATGCTTTGAAAAATAAGAAGGGAATATCAATTAACTTGCTACTTCTTCTCTTCAAATAGTGAAACTTTTTGAACTCATACTATAGGGAGTCTTGTACCAGGTGGGGATACTCACATCCTATTCCTACGAGAAGACAAAGTATGTGCACTGATCACCGCCTGATGCTGAAGGGCATTGTAGACTAGAGAGGTTAAGCTTCTCTCCAAGGCACACACGGGAAATCATGTCACAACTGGATGAGAAAGCATTTCATGTGTCCACCCTGGGTCACGAGGTTTCTCTTTTAAACCAAGGTGGAGGAAKCCAATGACAATGACTGACCATTCCTCACAATCAATGACCTTGCTGAGGAGTTAGGCATGAGAACTTGGAAGGGGGTGGATGATCTCCTCCTTCCACATATTCCGTTTATGACTTTCAGAAACTGTTCACCTGGCAGGATCCAGGGTCTAGTCACRCCCTAAAGACTCAGCTGCCTTCTAAGTCTAAAGTGATGCAGAGGAAAGAGTCATAGGCTGTTGGGATTTGCATCTTCTTATACTATGAATTTTGAGAATCAAATATAAAAAAAAAAACCAACTTGTCATTTTAAAGCTGTTTATATTATGTTTTATAAAGAAGTTTAATACTTTATCTTCATCATAGGATTAAAAATGTATCAAACCTGRAGGCCAGTGTCTAAAGCCCTGTCATTTCTTAGTGGATTGGAAGTGAGAAYTGACTTTCCTGGTCACCATCGACTTAGAAGGAATTTCTCGTTTCCTAGTGACTTAAATAGGACTTCAC